TAACAATTAAAAAAAAGTTAGGGGTGAGACCCACATAGCTTTCAATGTGCTGCCTGGAGTTAGCACCCTATATTCTGTGTCAAAGAATCCATCAGCAAGGAGGCCCTGTGACACCCTTGTGTGCAGAGGGCAGGAGGCAGAGGCACCTGACGAGACGTGGCAGTGTGCCCATAGTTGGTTAGTAGCAGAGCTTCGTGGTTTTGCCTCTGGATGGGCTTAAGCAATTTCCTCGTTAATTGAAATTAATCTGAAGTTTGAAATTTACCAAATCCCACAGCTGAGGCTTCAATTTGTAGTTGGTCTGCCCTGTGTGAGTTGTTCCCGCTCTCCAAGAACTAATGGAGGAATTGTGGAGTGGGTCATGAAGGGGGCGGGAACTCTGTGCTAAGGCATCCTGTGTGGAGATAAAAAGCATTTTCATCGCCTACGAGAATAAAAACTAAAAAGCAGAAAGGCCTTAGATTAAATAGTGAGACTTTTACCAAAAATGCCTCTAAATGGAAAGCAAAGAGTAGTTATAAAAAACGCAGCCCAAAACTGAACGGCCTCAGTTTAAATCTCAACGCTGATGCCTCCAGGCTGTGTGTGTTTGCACAAGATGCTCAACCTCTCTGAGCCTCACTTTTTTCATGTCTTAAATGGGGATAATAACAGTGCCTACTCCCAAGAGTTTCTGTTAAGATTAAATTATTTAAAACTTACTAAGAATCTAGAACCATGTTTGAAACATAGTTAAGTACCACATGAATATTTGTTAAAGAAAAATATGAAGGAATGATCCATATTTCAGAATGCAGATTTTCTCAGTATTTTCAATGGTGAAAAACAAAGAAGTTATCCCAAATTTGCTGGAGAGAAAGTGATATTTTTTCCTGAGACCATATATCCGAGTTACCAAAGTCTCACTTTGTGCCCTAAAACAATATGCAGCTTAGAGCATTGAACTAGGTTTGGGGGCAGATAAAACCTAAATTCTAATATCTCCTCAGTGATTCATTAGCTTTAAAATCAAGCCTCAGGTTCTTCATCTATAACGGAGCTCGATAAATTACAGGCCACGGGCTGAATCTGGCCCACCTTTACTTATAACAACCCACGGTTATGAGTAAAGTTTTATTGAAACACAGAGCCACACCATTTGTTTTCATATTATCTGTAATTGCTTTCTCTCTACAAGGGCAGAGTTGCAGAGGTGAGACAGAGACTTTGTTCTGCAAACCAAAAATTGTTACTACCTGGCCCTCGACAGAATACATTTGCCAACTCTGGATCTATAATACAACCATAATATTCTGATTCATGTCTGAAAATGAGATAATAAATAGGCAGAAGCCTACACAGAGTCTAGGCTCCATGAAGAAGGACTAATATCATTAAACAAAAAAAGTCAAAATCCAAACCTTTTTTGTTAGTTTTGTTTGCTTGTTTTTCTGCCTTTTCTACCCTCTACCTAGGCCGTTCTGTCCAAAAACAAAATATGAGCTTGACTTCCTCTAACTTGGATTAAGCTAATCTGCCACTCCATCGCAGCTGCCTGTTTAGGCGATTTCTATGGCTCTATTCATCGAAACTATCAGGGTTTCTGTCCCATTGTTTGTTAACATTTGCTTTATATCTCAGAGGTTCCACATAAGCATACGGGAAGCCCCCCAAAAATCTTGCACTGATTTGTTTTCGATGTTTAATTTTTTATTTAGAAATAATAAAATAAGACATAATATATAAAAATATGTACAATCCATGGTTTGTGCAGTACAATAGGAAGACTTCAGATACAAAAGGACGGCAAACAGGAAAATAATAACTATCACGATTGTCAAAGGCCGGGATTGTTCAATTCGCCAGAGCCCAGAGCTGAAACCCAGCGTCGCCAGAAGAGATTCTAGTTGGGAGTGGGAGGTGACTAGGCAACACTTTTTTTTCTCACCTTAACATTATTAGACACAGAGTGAAAAACAACGCACTCTGCTTCTCAGAAGAAGCTTTTTGCCTTTACTGAGTGGCTTATTATAAAGTATGCACGAGTAACACATTTTGGGGGACACAACTCATCAAATCAACATCAAGGTTTGGGATGGGATTCCGTAGGGTGGAAAGGAAGCGAAGGGAAGAAATAATGCGTGAATAGAACTTTTTAAAAAAGGTGAAACAAACTTTCTCCAGGAATTTGGACATGACTACAGTGCTCTAGTTAAGACATTCTTAAAATGTCTGATTCAAGTATATGCTTAGAGGGATAGAAAACTATTCCTTTCTCAATAATCAAAATAGAATTCACTTTGTCTACCTTTTATTTAAAAAATAGGGTAACCATGAATCTATGCCTCCTCCCAAAAATATAATGCCCAGCCAGACGTGGGCAAAAAATTTCTTTCAAAGGGAATAAGTCCTAAGTAAATTCAAAGGGGGATTTGCTTGCAAGAGAAGCAACGCGAATCCAGGACAGATCACAGACATCCATGGCGGGTCTCTTCAATCTGCATTGTAATGATGTGTGTGCACTTATTAAAGAGACCCAGTCAATAAGGACAAATGTTTTGAAGGTAAAATGCAGCAAAAAAAAAAAAAAAAAATGTTGTGCATTATCTGTGTCTTGGCTCTTGACAAAAAACAAAAAAGCCATTTAAAGCTTGTAACTGTTAAAATACTAATAACTAGAAAAAGCTTTGAAATGAACAGTCCATGCTGAAATAAATAACAGAAGAACATAGCAATACAAACCTTATAAGGCTGGTAAATATTTTGCTAAAACCATGCTAACCGGTAGCATATAGGTACTAGCTCTCAGAAATTGCTGCACTGAAATTATACTTTCTATGGCAATTTTTTTTCCTTTACAGACTTCTATTTACATTTGGCTTTAAATATGAAAATATCTGATAAACTTTATAAAATGTACACTTTAAAAACATAGCTTCTGCAAAATTTTCTTGGAAAAAAAACAAACGAACAAACCTGTGCACCAGAAATTTTAGATTTTTTTTCTCTTTTTTCTTTTTCAGAAAGAAGTTGAAAGATTTCCCTCCATCATTCCTGCCCCCGGGCCCACCCCCTTGCAATTAACGTTTTAAGTGGCAGCACTGTGTATTCGGAAGGAGCCTTCTCTATGGTCACCCCCGCTATCCACTGTATCTTCATTTAATTTACATATCACTGAATACTCTTTGGTTTGATTATTTTCCTTTGCAAAATATCAAAATAGCAGCAGCTGAAGCCCTCAGTGTCCCATTGACGGCCAAACCGTTGCCCCTTTTTGTCGATGCTCAATGCCAATTCCTTCAACTCCCTAAATGACTTCCCAAACCTGCCCTGACGTTTGGGTTTAGAACAGCGTCCACGCGCTTGACACCTCTGCCTTGGTATCGATGGAAATCACGCCACGGTTTTCAAACCCATTGACTCTGAAGGCTGACAACAGCAGCAGAAACTGTGATATTATTGCAGGCACTGCATTCAGATATGGCTGTTCAAGAACCAGAGACCATCACAGACACCAATTCACAGAATACAGGATCCTAGAACAAGCTGTTTTTTAATGGCATACAGGGATATAATACCATAAGAGAGTTGATTTTGAGACTCCGATTAAAAAGAAAAGTCAGTAACCCCAGAATTCACAGATGGGGAACTTTAAACCAAAATAGAGTTTCATGATTGAGATAGAGTGAGGGGAGAAAAAAAAAATGTATTTAGCAAGTCAGGCAGTCAGGTAAGAAGGAGAGGCTTGTGGAAATCAATGTGTCCTTCGTCACCTGCTCTAGCGGTCCACAGGTGACAAGGATCAACTTAGATTCAATCATGAGTGTGCATACATAAAGGGGAAATAATCATTTTAGACTATTATCTCCTTTACTTGTGATCGTGTCATATTTTTTATGACCCTTGTTGACCCTAAAATACTGGGACCATTTTCATTCCTACTGTCTGATAGTAAAAAAAAAAAAAAAAAAAAAAAGCAACGTTGCTCTCCCTCCTGAATGCTCGAGCCGATGATGCAAGCCCACACGCATCTCGCTGCCTCCCCCATGTGGGCGCTGCAGCCCCCCAGCCACGCAGGACTCATCCAGACACACTGATCAGAGGACCAGTCTGGAGGCCTGGCATGGCACCCTTTCTAAGGCAAAGCCAATCCGGACTTTTTCCGGAAGTTGGGGAAACGCATTCAACTATAAGGGTTTAAACCCATTTAGCTTCCATATTGGATGACTCAGCTTGGAGGATGCTGATTAAATTCAACCGAGGTCTTATCTTATTACGGAATACATTTTGGAATGTGCAAAAAGGGAAAAACCCAGAAAAATCTAAGACCATGTCACCATCTCTCGCCTTATGTGTTAGCCTGGCCAGCACTACCTCGCAGGAAAGAAGAGATGTTTATATTGTGTGTGTGTGAATTTTCCTTCCCCTTTCTTCTTCCTCTTACAATACAAAAGTTATGTGAAAGAACAGAATTTTTAAAGCACTGCACTGACTAGACTGTGTGTATGAAGTCCTATTTGCTAAAGAAGGTGCCAAAGGAGAGGGCAGTTCAAGGTCTCGCTGAGGTTCAAAGTTATTGTCTCTTGATTTCAAGGCAGCTTCCTTTTCCTTTTTAGTATAAGCTCTGCTGTGCAAAAATGTGCATTATCTTTGGTATTTATTTTAGGTAGTCTAACTTAAAATTTGAGATAACCCATTAACATCATGAAGGAAAATAAAATAAAATAAAAACCCGGAGGCTACCATTTGGCTATTGTTACATAATGCCCTTATGTAACCAAAGAGGAGAGAGAGAGAGAGAGAGAGAGAGAG